AGCATGCGTGGAGGACCGACGCTGCCAAGAACGGTGTCCTAAAATCCACCAAGCTATATCTGGCAGGCAGGAATGTGTCGAGCACAATGCGATACGCACGAAGTATGCTGGAGTGGATGGACAATAACATTGTTCAGGAGTTTGAAACGTATGCCGAAGGCCAGCGCAAAACGAACGGGACGAGCGAGAAGAAGGAGGGTGGGCCGTTTGAGTTCAAGTACTTGCGGCTGCTGGAGCGAAAGGCCCAGATTGCGAAGCTGCTGAGTCTGGATACGGCGAACGGTGACATGCAGGGTCGCGTGATCCTCGCCAGTGATGCCAGCATGGACTGGGGCTTCTCAAAAGATTTAATGAAGGGGTTGGCCAAGGATTCGAGAAATTTGGTCATCCTGACTGAGCGGCCTGGCATGGCCAAGAGCGACAAGCCGTCGATTTCAAGGACACTATGGGAGTGGTGGAAGGAGAGAAGAGATGGCGTATCAGTAGAGCAGACTAATAGCGGGGATAATCTGGAGCTGGTCTACGGTGGTGGCCGAGAGCTGGAGATACCAGAGGCACGTCGCCAGCCCCTCGAAGGAGACGAGTTGACTATATACCAGCAATGGCTTGCGACGCAGAGACAGTTGCAGGCAACGCAGCTAGCGGGAGGAGCAGGGGCGCTGGAAGCATCTGCCGATGTTGTAGACGATGCCTCGTCTGACTCTTCCTCCGACTCGGAAGATGACGGCGAGCAGCAGGGCAAGGCATTGAACGTTTCCACAACAATGGGCCAGGCCAGTCGCAAGAACGTGGTTCTCAAAGACGAGGATCTGGGGATCAACATTCTGATCAAGAAGAAGGGGGTGTATGACTTTGACTCTCGAGGGAAGAAAGGGAGGGAGCGCTCGTTCCCCATGGCGATAAGGAGGAAGCGCAACGACGACTTTGGTGAGCTGATCCGACCGGAGGATTACCTCAGGGCGGAGGAGAAGGAGGAGGAGACCATGGACGGAGCCAATGTTGCCACCGAGGACGATAAGCTGGGCAAGAAGCGCAAGTGGGACGACGTTGCTAAGCAAGCTTCTGGTACCAACAAGCGGCCGACTGTGAAACGGGCCTTTGCTGATGCTGATGCGGACATGGACGCGGACGACGGTGCCGCCGCAGACGAGCTGGACGTGGTTGAGGATATAGAAACCGAAGAACCCACTGGGCCTTGCAAGCTCGTGCACGGCTCAGAGACTGTGGTGACGAACCTGAGGATCGCCATGATCGACTTTAGCGGATTGCACGACAAGCGAAGTCTCAACATGCTTATCCCGCTGATCCAGCCGCGGAAACTAATCCTCGTCGGCGGCTCATACGAGGAAACCATGGCTCTGGCGGCTGATTGCCGGGCCTCCCTCCAAACGGACGGTGATCGCGCCGTGGACGTCTTCACCCCACAGGTCGGCGCCTGGGTCGACGCCAGCATGGACACCAACGCCTGGGTCGTCAAGCTGGCCGACCCCTTGGTCAAGAAGCTCAAGTGGCAAAACGTCCGCGGCCTGGGCATCGTCACCATCACCGGCCAGCTCTTGGCAGCGACCCTAAACCAGGACGACAACGACGCCATGCAGACGGACGAGGACGCCGCCAACAAGCGGCAAAAGACGGAGACAACAACATCTTCTTCCACCGCCGTGGCGCTCACCAACGCCGCCAACACGGCCGCCATGCCTACGCTCGACGTCCTCCCCGTCAACCTCATCTCGGCAGCTCGCTCGGCAGCCCAGTCCCTACACGTCGGCGACTTGCGACTAGCCGACCTGCGGCGCTCCATGCAGGGAGCCGGCCACTCAGCCGAGTTCCGCGGAGAAGGTACTCTTGTGGTGGACGGCTCCGTGGCGGTCCGCAAGACGGCCGAGGGCCGCATCGAAGTCGAGAGCGTGGGATTACCGCTCGGTGGACGGAGGAGCACGTTGTACGAAGTCAAGAGGGCGATTTACGATAATCTGGCTGTCGTGGCTGGTGCATAATGGGGTGGAGTGGGGATGTGGGATGTCATGATGGGGAGATTGTTACAAGGGAGGTAGTTATCAGGGGCCCGGGAGGAGGGGGAGGGAGCTACGATTTTCAAAGGATGGCTTGCATTTTTACGTGAATGAGCAAAGAGCATTATTGCTATGTACTACTTAGGTAGATTAGAACAGTCTTGGGTGAATTGGTTGAAAGGCGTAGTTCAAATGGATAACGAGGCAAGTTTACAATAGGCCAACATCAAGCATGCTTAAAGCAAACATGGTGATAGTTTGGATTGCAATGTGTGCAATAACCGTCTACTTGATCAACATTCCTGACTTCTAACATCTTGACGCTGATGTGATTTATATTAGTAGTAGTACAAGGCCCTTGAGGGCTACCCATCATCAAACCGCTGGTGAAGAATCATCTCCACGTAATAACATAGTCGCTGCTCCCCCTTTGCCCATTACGACGGTTGGTTTAGTCTATTCCTTCCAACCTCCCAAAAAACGCCGAGCAATGCATTCGCTATTTCCAAGAACATTCTGTCACCATGACTCGCCCATATTCTATGCCGCAACCGCCGACTTGACTTGCGTCAGCTCATACTCTTCTCTCTCGGCCTCCTCTTGCCCCGATAGTAGTCCCTCCTCAGCGGCGCTGCTGTTGTTGTTGCCCCCTCCGTTGTTGTTCCTAGTAGACGGACCGGACATGCCTGATCCAAGGACACGGCCGCCAAAGAAGAAGACGGGCTGGAGCTCGCGGTAGCGACACCCCCACATGCCGAGACCGACGGCGATGGCGGAGGAGCTGAGCATGGTTACCCACCACATGGAGTTGCGGGGGAGGGAATGGGTGTAGAGGGTGGTGAAGACGAGGTGGAGGCCGTGTACGGTAAGAGCGAAGTCGGGGACGAGTTTACTGCGGGCGATGAGGATGACGATGGCGACAGACCTGCAATGTATTAGCGACAGCTTGTAAAAGGAGAGAAAGAGGGAGAGAGAGAGAGAGTATATAACTTACATGCACAACCCTCCATCAAGGATCCATATAAAGGCCACCAACCAACCCGTCGTCGTATCCCCGCGCACGCGCTCCCACCCGAGCAGCAAGTCCAGGCTAAAAGGCATGCCCGCGACGAGGGTAGTGAAGAGCAAGAGGACGAGGGCGGCGGCGTAGTAGAGCGCCTGGAGGGTGAGGATCTGGGCGGCGATCTTGAGGGGAGGTAGCTCTGTGAGCGCGCCGGCGCGCGGGGTCTGCGACGACGGGCCATGATTATGTATTTTTTTTTGGGGGGGGGGGGGGGGAAGGTTTGAGGAGAAGTAGTTTTTTTCCTGGGAAGAGAAGCGAAGCTGTGGTGTGTTTGTTGTTGTTTAAGCGCTGCTTTCCTATGCGCAAAGGATGTAAGGCGATGTGGAAAGGCTTTGTTGTTGTTGTTGAGGTTTTGAGGTTGTTCGTTTCAACCGTTGGAGAGAGAAAGAGATATGGGTGAAGAAGCTATCGCTGGAGAATGTTCTACTAATTCGTAATCGAAGAAACGTATGCTTTTGGTATAAAAAAATAAAATAAAAAAAGAGGGAAAATGAAGTAGTCGTAGCTCGTAAAAGACTTTAATAAGAGACAGAAAGAGAGAGAGAGAGAGAGAGAAACAATAAAAGAGACGTTTTTCGAACCAAGGCTGGTCTGCGTTAAGAATTCAAAGGAAACTGATTTGTTGTAAAGATTAAAGATGGGGAGGAGATGGGAGGAAGGATGGATGGGTTTGGGGGCGAAACAGGGGATTGACAGCCTGTCTTGGACGCTCTTTCTGTATTGCTTGGCTTAATTACCTGCCTGTACTCTGTAGTAGCATGCCTGGGAAGGTTGAATGTGGGAGAGAGGGCGCTAGTCCTAGAATGACAATTTATGCCTGACCGCTCTAGTTCTGCCATATGAAGCAGTCGTCATTAGATTCTAACAAACCACCACAGAACATTTATCTATTCTGATATTATATATATCACATCGCTGTGTTTGAAACATTCAGCATATGCTCTCCGCACCCAATTGAATGTTGAATTACAAAAAAAATACCTACCGATTATTCTTTTCTGGGACACACTGCAAACCATCAACTCTCTCCAACTACATCTCCCGCGGGGGGTTCAAAGCAAACAAAAAGAAGCTCCTCCTCCCCTTCCAAACACAACAACAACAACAACAACAGCAACTACCTACAACACACAACATCCAATTCGACAATGGGCTGGTGGCCCTTCTCCAGCGACTCCCGCGCCGACGCCATCCGCTCCGGCACCGCCATCCCCACCCGCCAGGAGCGCGCCGTCTGCTGGTCCTCCCGCGACGCCTACTTCGCCTGCCTAGACGCCCACTCCATCCTCGACGCCAACAAGGACGCCGCCGCCGCCAGGCGCCTGTGCCCCAGCGAGTCGGCCGACTTTGAGCGCGACTGCTCCACCGCCTGGGTCAAGTACTTTAAGCAGTGGCGCGTGGCCGACCTGCAGAAGAAAAAGAGGCTCGACGAGCTGAGGAAGCAGGGGGCCATGGAGATGGAGGTGTCCACGACGTTTGCGCCAGAGGGAGGGGCAGGGGCTGCGGCGGCGACGGCGGGGAAGGGGAGGGGGATATTCAGGATATGTTGGATAAGAAGAGGGGGAGGTAAGAAAGAGAGAGAAAAGAAGAAGAAAAAGAAGGGAATGAGTATATAATATGAGAAACTGAGAGAGACAGAAAAAGAAAGAAAAACAAGAGAAAGAGAGATGGAGCGGAATCTCTGGTGATGAGGAATGGAACCATCATCATGTAGGACTACGAAAACATGTACATCTAGAACTTATACGACCACCTCAGGCAGACAGAACTTGTCCAAACAACAAATTCAACACTCCTCTCCTTCCAAAAAACACATCCCCTCTCTCCATCGGCAAAAAAAAGAGAAGACATATATATATCTATCTATAAACTCATCGATCGAAAAAAATGAAATTCTACACTCGCAGAGGCAAAAGGGAAAAAAATGGACACACGGGGAATTGAACCCCGGACCTCTCCCATGCTCCTCAATCGAAATCTTTCGGTTGAAAGGTGCTAAGGGAAAATCATACCACTAGACCATGCGCCCAGAAACCCAAATCATGACTGACTGGATCTGGGAGAGACCCGAAACTCAGTCACTATGAACCAGGAGAATTCCTGCCATCAGCGTTCTACACGAGGGAATTCGTCTAGATACCAAGCATGTCAAATTCATGGACGTTGCGATGCGGGAAGACGAAGCTCACCACAACACCAAGAAGGAAATTCACCCCAAATAAAACAAAAAGAATAACTTCTACCAACTTTGTTTGTTTCATTGTTAATGATAATTGTAAGAAGAAGAAAAAAGTTAAATGTATGTATGCTTTGATGCAATCAATGGTATCATCCATGTCTTAGTTAACAAAAAAACAAAGATATTTTGCACACTCGCACACACAAGACAAGGGAAGCATTATTTTGCTCAACCCTCTCTCTCTCTCTACTCCTCGATGACTAGTATTTCTTTCCTTCCTTTATCCCTCTCCCTCTATCTCTGTCCCATAATCACATACGAAAAGAACAAGAGAAAAGCGAGAGTGAAAATACCCATGATTTCTCCTCCACCTCCAATGACAAAAGAAAACCCAAGAAGAAGAAATAAGACAACAAAGAGACAAGAAGGATGGGCAGGGATCGATCGAATCAAAAAAACCCCCCAATGAGGAAACCAATTATGTTGCAAAGAAAGTACAAAAAAAGAGAATAAAATATTCATGGAGCCCAGCTTATTCCACCCGGCCCGTTTCCTGTTCTTCATGCCGAATCATCAAAATGCTGTGTATGTGACTTGGAACCTGCTTTTGCTGTAACATCGCTGATGTGCGCCGTGCCGTGCTTTTCATGATGCGAATCAATCTCTGATCTCCCCGGAAGGCAGCAGCTCATTGTGGTAGCGACCTACGCGACGAGCCTGATTCCACCGATACCGCTGTCGAGGGTATCCTCCTTCTTGGGGATTGGTGGCAGGCTCTTGTTAAGGCTCTCCCGACTAATCTGTCGTGCCATTCTCAATGAGTTGTCCCTGCTTAGGGTGCCATTGCTATTGTCACCGTACCCGCTGTCGGAGCTATCGGGCTTCAGAAACGGCTCGCCATGAACAGGTGGTGTCGGCGGCGGGGCTCTGTTTGGAGCCGGCATACGGTCCGCCCAAGATGATGGCATTCTACCCCAGCGATTCGTGTCGTCTCGGCTACTCTCGCCAACCTCCTCTACAATCGGCAGAATGGATTCATGCTGCATGTCCGTCTTCAATATGCGCTCCGGGATCTGCCTCTCGGCAACACCATCCGTATGTCTCCGGTATTCTTCTTCTGCTACTCGTCGGGAGCTGTGCGGCGGTAGAGGCGGCAATTCTTTGGGCAGGGGAGGCAGTTTCTGCGATTGTCTCTGCTGCTGTTCTTCTAGTAAAGCTTCCATGTCCATGCGCTGGGCCTCCCTCCGAGCTTCTTCGGCAGATTTGGTGATGTCCTGGATGAAGCTGTAAAATCGCACTCCATACTGGTCTGGCGGAAGGGCAGAGATCTTGGACCTATCACTTGACAACCCCTTCCAGAAATGCTCGATCTTTTTAATCATTCCATACTATTATTATATGTTAGTCCGTTGCAGAAGACATCGACCAAAGTCAAGCACTTACATGGGTCAAACAATCGATAACTCCAAGATAGTAAATTTCATCGGCAGGCTCATTGTTCTCATGCGTGGCTTGGAAACCGCCATCGTCCTGGTTGAAGATGAAATCACGGCGACTGTGATCCTGTCCAAGTTCATCTGGCATTTTGTCTGTTGCCTGGCCCATAGGAACGGGTCGTTGGCTCTGAACCATCTCCCTCAACTCTTTTGCCTTGCGGTAGTTTTCCATCTTGGATGGGGTTCGAAGAAGGTGTGCCTGAAGGTCCTCATCCGTCGACTTCTCACCTCCAGGGCTAAACACTTGGAGAGTCTTGCCACGGAGATTTTCCTCGTTTCCACGTGAGAGATCATGAATGCCAACCAACAAGGAGTAGTCCATGATGTGTAGTTTTTTAAGAAGCGCAACATCTTTCTGTAGCTGTTGAAGGAAAAGCTGTTTCTTTTGGATACCGAGTTCCAGATTTTGTTTCCGTCGAAGCCAGTTCAGGTCCTTGAGTGTCGCACGTGGGTTCTTTTCCAAATTTTCTTCCTTGTAGTCCCGGCCAATGGTCGATCCCTTGAGATCAAATGTTGTGTGGATGTCCCGGTGCGGAGGGAACAGGTTGTTCATGACAACAAAGTGAATCTTCTTTCCATAAGGCATTTTGACTCGATGCAAACCGTAGAACTGCGAGAGGAGGGTGTTGGGGTTCTCCTGGACGTGCTTGTAGTAGTCCCGCAAGATTTTTCTGAGAAACTTGTGCTCGGAGTGATGAATAGTTTTAATAATGTACTTGTAGTCCCTGGAGAAATAGAAGAAGCTGCCACTCTTGCCTGGGGAGCCCAGCTCCGAGAGGATGTACTTCCCCGTTAGTGACATGAGATAGTCGGCAGGGTCAAGGCGGAAAAGAGCTCGTAGGTGACGGAAGACCCAAGGGGCATAATCCTTGAACTTGAAGTCATATTTAGCCGACGGAACTAATTCATTGCCGGTACTTTTAACAGTGTCAGTAACAGCTCCACTTGCACAGGATGGTAGATGCATAAGAAGAGACTTACATATCGAATGTAGACTTCTGCTTAACTTCAAAGTCTGAATCGATCAAATCGCGGTCAAGTTTGGCGTTTGTTCTTGAGACGGACACCCGGATTCCCGTCAGCATGTTGTAAGCAGTGACCCAATTGGCATGGGTCTCGTCGACCTTTGTGCCAACCAAGACTCGGTCGTCATCCTCTTCTTCCTTTCTTCTACGCTTGCTGGCTCGCTTCTGCCTAAAGGCTTCGGTGTATCGCATTGTATCCTCGTCGGGAATAATCTCATCACGGGGAACGTCCGACTGCATCGATCGAGTTGTTCGTCGGACCAGGCTAAGAGAGGCACGACGAGTTCCCGGGCTTGTGAAGGTGGGAGAAAAACGACCACTGGCCTGGGCGGCATCCATGACGTCTTTTGATAGTTTTCCTTGAGTCTTTGGTACTTCCAGGTTATGAGTGTGCCTTTGTTTGAGGCCCCCGGGGCCGGGCGGGTGCAGGTAACCGGATGAAGGCGGCGACGATGGCGTACTGCCGGGCTGATGTGCAGGAGGGGACGAAAACCGGCGGGGAGAATGTATGGGCGGATGGGGAAATTCGGAGGTGGGTGACGCGGGTGCATATGACGGAGTTCGCGGTGGAGGCGGGCTGCGTGACTGGGGTATGTCTGTTGGCAGTGTTTGTCTTGGCAGTGAAGCATAGTTTTGGGTGTTGTTGTTCCTAGCAGTCCATTGCGTGACTGGCGGAAAGGGGCCTGCGTCGGCGGTCATGTTGCGGGAGAAGTTGGCAGAGTTGTTGGAGTTTAGATAGGACGGCTCGAGTCCATTACGGTCGCCCCCAGCCACAGCAGTTTGTCGTGGTACAGATCGAGAAGGGAGAGCATAAGTGGCTCCATTCGATAGCGTGTTTGTCAGTCCCAAATCTCGTGCATCAACGCCTTGAGCATAAGGCTTGCCGTTGGAGACAGAGTTCATGCTCGTAGGGCGAGTTCCATTGCCGCTTCCGTCCTCACGCCAGTGATCGTGTTCATTCGAAGGCATCGGGGAGTCCGAAATTTCCGAGTCGTGGGTAGACAAGGTCGAACTCTCGTCGAAGGTATCATGGGTGGTATAGGACCGAGTGTGAGTTAAAGGGGGCTCATTCGCCCTGTCCTTTGGGGCAGCAAATCCAAGGCGGAATTGGCTGTCGTCGTGATCGAGGTCGAGAATAGGCGTGTTGGCGAAGATGTTGGAATGGTCGTCGGGTAGATACGAGGGCATTTCGCACCGACGAGGGGGAGGAAAGGGGACGAGACGCGAGCGACGAACGGGATCGTTAAATGCTACCAATTGAGCGATACTGTTGTTGTTCTCTTTTCTTTTTGCTTTTGATTTGATGTTGAGGAAATGGAGAAGGGAAGAAAAGAAGGAAAAGCTAAAGATGATGGATGGAACTGCAGTCGCTAAAGAGAAGAGCTTCCCCCCAAAGTTCTAGCACTGACTGCACTGTATTTTGGGTGGGTATGCAGTAACTACTAAGGCAAGATTATTGGGCAGGGACCTCAGCCTGGCGGCGCGGCGACCCACTAAAGCAAAACTGGCGACGATGACGAATTGGTTGGATACGGGCGAGGGATTGAGGAGCTGCTGCTGCTGCTGCTACTGCTGGTCGAGGGCGAAGGCGAAGGCGAAGGCGAGGGAGAGACGGATGGACAGAAATGGTTTCTGTCCCAGTCAGGCCTACCAGTGCCCAAAAACGTTTGAAAATGAGGCAAAGGAACCGAAAGCGCCTCGTGTGAATGTATTGGACTGAGAAGAGAAAAGAGGCGCTGGGACTAGAAGGCTTCCACCGAATAGATTTGCTGAGGATGTTTTGTTAGACAGAGACAAGAGGCAGAGAAACAGAGACAGAGACAGTGCCAGTGCCAGGGAAAAGTTGGAAATGAGGCGGCCCTGGGCAGGCTGGGCTGGGCATGGCATTGGCATGGATGGACGGATGAGTGGATGGGCAAGCAAGCAAGCAAGGCAAGGTGGACGACAAAAAGCAAGGGATGGGCAGTGTTCCCGGTGGGTTCTCGTTGCAGTGATGGAGCATGTGGCAGGGGATCCGCGGCGTACTGTGCATTTCATTGTGCATACAGAGGGTGCAGCACCATCCAATACAGTACGCTTAGGGGCTAAGCCGCCAGGCGGGTCGGCGGGTGGGACGCTGGTTTCGATAAGGTACCCGCCCCTAACTGGACCACCTGTAGCAACGAGACTGGGCGAGAGGTTTGGCATGTGCGTACAGTGTGAACTAGAAACAGACACCCACCAGACTAGACTACCTACAGGTACTCAGCACAATAATGCATCCATGGGTCCATTAGGCCACTCCTCCTCACTGAGTTACAGTGCAGTCAGTTGCAGTGATGCCAGGATG